TTTAAGCCTAGACGTCTGGGCTGTGTTTGGACGGCTATTAGACGTCTTTTAAATCCAAAATTGCTTGCTGGGTTTCCTCCCTTATTGTCTTCCTCACATGGCTTGCTTGCTTAGTCACATTTCAGCATCCATACTAAAATTGTTACAGATTCTTTGGACAAGAAAACCAGCATGTCCACTTTGCTTGGTTTCAGAGATGTGTGTTGACATGTAAATATATTGTCTGATGTGCTGAAAAGTCTTTTAGAGGGTGTGCTGGTGGCAGACACACAAAGATATTTTTGCATCAGCTTGCTTAAGTGGAGATAATTGATCTTATGAATTTCCCACCACGGCTCCTCCTCAGTGTGAAGTTTGGGCATCAGAATGTAGCTGTTAAATTCCACTTCAATGATTGGTCAGAGGATTCCGACGGAGATGTAGATGTAAAAGGCTTCTTAAAGACTTCATCCTCTTTGCACTGGCTATGGCACTTTGGCTTGGCTGATTCCCTGATTCAACACCTGCTGATGATGAGACGTCAACAGCAGGCTGTGCCTCCCAGAAAAGAAAGTAAAATAATTCATATTTGCACTCAAGAGCTCCAATCATTCTTGCCATTTAAAATATTCTTAACTTCTGAATTGCCTTAATTTCTGATATTGCCCATGAACTCATTTGTGGCAGTTTTTCCTTACAAATGTAGTCTTTTTTAACCTTGGGTCAAGAAAAGGGGCAATGTTCAGCAGAGTTTGGGTTGTGTGATCCCAACGCTATCTCACGACCAATTCGTACAAGTGCGTACGAGGTGGCTAATTCGTACGAATTCGTACAACCTCACTCATACGAATTCGTACGATTTGTCTAAACCCCAGTGATGGCTAGGTTTATGGGCAGGGTCAGGTCATTCGTACGAATTCATACAAATTGGGCAACTCGTAAAATATGTACGATTTATCAAAAATCGTATGAGTGAGGTTGTATGAATTCGTACAAATTAGCCACCTCGTGAAATACGTACGAATTGCAGTGAGATCGGGTTGGTGATCCTCATATTTTGCCTCCATGTAGGCCAGCATTTTGGTTTTAGTTGAGAATGTCAGCACTGTGTCTTCTCTGTTTTTGTCTTCAGTAAATGAAGAACTTGCTGTAGATAAGAAATGTTCATGTAGTCCTCCACAGACAGAGCATCAGTGAACTCTTGAAGTGGCTTCAATGCCTTGTTTACTGACTCAAGGGCCTCACCCAGATGTCGTTTTTCAGAGAGAATTTGTGACAAAACCCTCTGCTGTTCCAGTATCTTTTCCATCATTTGCTGCTTAGTGCCCCATCGTGTTGGGCACTCTGTGATCAGACTATATTCTGGCAGGTTAAGTTCGCTCTGTGCTTTCTTCAGTGCTTCTTTCTTTTTCCAGCTATGGGAGAAATGTTCGACTAGCTTTAATTATATTGGTTGTGTTGTCCGTGATAAAACTCACTAGATACGCCTTACTCAAATTCCAACCAGACAAAGCCTCTCGCAGTCCCAGAGCTGTTTTCTGTCCTCACTGGGAAAATATTCTGTCTGTAAGCACAGACTTCTCATTTTAAAGTCTTGGTCAATACAATGAACCGTTAAACTAATGCACAGCTCTGTTGTCCTACTGGACCAGAGGTCTATCGTACACGCAAAATGTTTGACATCTCTCAGTTCCAACTTGACACGGTCGTGAGCATGCTCGTACATTTGGGGGATAGCAGTTTGGGAAAAATAAGAGCGAGAGGGAATGTTATAGCATTTGTCTTTGGTATTCATCAAGTGCACATAACCTGGTTTCCCGACCATGGCGATTGGAACATATCCTTTGCCAGATAGCATGTTATGGCCTATGTTATTTCTATATGATGCCAGGAGCTTGCAGGATACGGTGTTAATCTATCAAAGTTTGATGCGATGGAGTGTTAGGTTCGGGAACAAGGGTTGATTCATCTGTGCTTGAAGATTTTTCTGCCAAGCATAGCTGATACAAATTGTTGTGCTTCGTCTTGAGGTGACTGCAAAGATTTGTAGAGTTTCCCTTTCGCGTTGCCACTCGAGATTAAATGTTTCACAAATAACTTCAGTCTGCATGTGTTCATCTCTTTTAAAACCAAAATACTGCCATCGTCAGCAGCAGCAGCTGCTAGTGCCTCGGGCTGACTCATCTTCTCAGATTAGTTTACAACGAGAGCATCGCAGCTTGTTGATTGTCTTGCGTCAGAGCACGCGCATGCTATCATGCACACACACGCAGACATATCCCAATTCACGAGTTCACACTTATAAATAATCCCCTTACAAGACACCTAAAGAGCATAGACATAGTTCACACATAGTTCTCATAGTTCATAGTTCACACTTACAAATAATCAGATGCGTGTTTGGCGTGGTGTCCGAGGAGAGGGCTCCGAGCTCAGTATTTTGGCCCGAAACCAGAGTACTCCCCCCAAAAAGTTGCGAACCAACGTGGGACAGCAGCCATGAAACGATACTGACAACCCCCCCCCCCAAAAAATGCGGAGTGTAAAGCTGACGGTGCACTGATTTGGGGGGAGGGGGTGAGTCACTGGACCAGGAGGACTCTTGCATCATCGGCGGGATATATATATATATATATATATATATAAAGGCCTCCTCTCGTGCTGATTGGCTAGATTATTTGAACGTGTTCCTCCCGAACTTTGTTAATAAAACATCATCTAATATCTGCGTGCCAGTCGCTATGCTATCTGCATTGACCCAAAACTATAAATGACTTTTTGAAGTAAATCATTAATTAATCGCAAACCATTGCGATATGCACATTTGCTTTATTTCGATCATTTTTTATATATCGTTCAACCCTATTATACTGTATAGCATACATGTTATGTAACATGCACCTATAACTTGGTGTCATTTATCACTGAAATTATTTTGATTTCCCTCAGTTTGCAAAGCAGTCCTTTTCTTGTGTCCTCACACATGTCATGCCATGGGTTTATTAGCTAATGAAACTGTATAACATTTACCCTGATGCAAAGACCTTTCCATTATAAGAGCTTTACTGTGAACATTTATTTTTCTTTGACAACATGCATTAAACCAGGAAGTCCATTAATGCTTAACAAGATACTTCTATAATATATATATATATATATTTAATATTTGAGCTTGTCATGTTTGCACAGTTTTGCCCTTCATCTCTGTTTACTGCAGCTCAGACCCAGGCACTTTCCTCTCATCTTGATCATGCACATCAAAAACTTTTCTTCTGAAAGTGGAAATGTGCTGACTGTGTTATGGGCTTCTCTGATTACTTTTAAACTCAATGCTGACCCACTGCAGTACGTGAAACTTTTACAAAAACCGATGGGGCTGCCATGTAGGAGAAAGCGAAGGTTCTGAGAGTTTGTCAGTTGAAGCGATGCTGACTGACTCCTCGTGCAACACTCGAGTTGACGGCGATGGCTTTGAAAACAAACGACTGCTGGGAAAACCCAAGGGAGGTCATGAGGCAGAAGGATCTGTGCTGTCAGGAATCAACCTCTCACTTAAACTGATGGCAGCTTCCTACTTACTCTCTCCTCCTCTTCCCTTTAGCCTCGGGCCACTGACAGCCCTGTTACTATGTGTGCTTACTTTACTTGTTTTGCTTGTTTACATATATTTCAATATACATATATAACGGGACAGGAATCTGGACTGTTTGTAAATGCAAAATAATGCTCTTTAGGCATTAGCCACTGAGGGCTGATCAGAGGAACATGTGTAATAGGCAGGTTTGCAAGTTGCAAGAATCAATCAGCACTTTATGTTGAGAGACTGTAAAGGATGGACAGTCTGTGTTACCTATCAAACAACACTACCATTCAAAAGCTTGGGGTCTGTAAGGTTTTTTTTTTTTTTTTTTTTTTTTTGAAAGACAGTACTTTTACGGTGCATTCCATTAATCAAAAGGGACAGTTAAGACTTTTATGAACAAAATATTTTTATTTCAAATAATTTCTTTTAACTTTCTATTAAAAAAATCCTAAAGAAACTCATATTGCAGTTTCCACAAACATTAATAATAGTAAGAAATGTTATATGCATATTAGAATGATTTCTGAAGGATCATGTGACACTGAAGAGTAATGATGCTGAAAATTTTATTGTAATTATATTTCACAATATTACTGTTGTTACTGGATTTTTTTTATCAAATAAATGCAGCCTTGGCGAGCATAAGAGGGTTCTTTCAAAAACATTGAAGAATCTCACCAAACTTAACAAGTGTAAGTGTAACAAAACATTGAGTGTAACAAAACATAATATATAACAATTAACTATCCTCCACAGACAAACACACATTTTTGCAAAATTCTAAATCTGTCTAGCACTGTGTTATTTTAGCACCACTATCCAAACAGAACTTCAAAAATAGTGACATTGGTCAGAAAAGCAGAACGTCCCAACACAAACTCATGCCATTGGTTGAGCCAATGTTGCTCTGTCGGGGAAGTTTTGTACGTTTCTGTAATAAAAATGGAAGTTGTTGCAATCAGGTAAGCCACTGTGGCTCTTTTATCGTACATCATAAATGACGAAACGCAGAAAACGCTTTCATGTTATCTTGCATTTGGATGCCTGATGTTTGTGAATGCGTTCTAGTTCTAGTTAAGTTTATTTTAAGGTTTTTTTTGTTTCGCATTGAAGGATTTATTGTTTCCATCGTCGTTTATGGGCATGTCTTCTTATCAATTGAGCTCAATTGAGCACGTACATTTGAAACTGAACATAATGGTGACCTCTAGGAACCAAGTATTTTAACATTAACCAAATCACAGTGTTTCTATAAGCTATGTCTTGTCTGAAAGAGGATATATAGATAGGGAAGGTAAAACACTGTCTACCACTTAAACCAGCACCTATAACCAACCATTAATTTATGTGCTTGAAGCACAAGACAGCGGGGAATAACAACTGTAAGTTAGATTTTTATATTGTTCTGTTTTTTTTTTTTTTTTTGTTTTTTTTTCAGATTGAATGCTCAAGTATATCAGAATACTCTGAGAAAATCATCAAGGCCAATCATCTGGACAGTGGTAAGCAGATTCGCTGTGTTTCGATATTGTAGAAGTGTGTGTTTGCTGTGTAGTTGGCTGGCTTGTGTGGGTGTGTGAGAAAAGCAGAATGACAAATAGGATGAGACACTGATAGGATAAAGAGTGGTCGTCGACCGTTCTTCTATTCAGCCTCCTAAATATACATAATTTAAAACCTCTGCAGTAATCTGAATATTAAGAGAGAATTTAAATTGCAAATATTCTGCTTTATAAATGATAAAATGACGATAAAGGACACAGCCTTTCCAAAAACAAATGTTAATCATGTTAAATGTTTTTGTTTTTTTTAAAGCTCCAGTCCGTAACTTTTTGGGGTTAAAAATGATCCAAAATACATTTTTTAACAAGTACATAACCAGCCAGTGTTCAAAACTTTCTGCTTGCCTTAGCTCGATTCAAAGCGGTAAGATTGTAATAATGATTTTGATTCCAGTGGTACTGGTGGATTTCCGCGGGAAATTCCAGCATGTCTTTGTGCCATTATGTCACATCTTTACACATAAAGAAGGAGTCTCGGCTAGTAGACTGTGTTGCGTGTGAGGATGTTGGAGGTGGAGATTTATAGCCTTTTTTCACACCACTTGATATAATTAAACTTATCAATTTGATGGCAGATCCAGAAAGGTTCAAACGACAATCACCAGTGACAACTGGAGATTCACCCGTTGTAAAATGCAAAAGACTTCGGAGTGGCTACAGAAAAAAAAGAGACTGCAACCGGACCCATGCGAAAGCAAGGAGAAATATCGGAAGGGCATTAAATGTAGTCACGCAATGCTGATGTTGTTAACATTAACAATTTGAGAACAAAGTATAATTTGCACACTGTAAATTCTAACAAGTTCAGTTTACTTAAAAAAAGTTTGGAAACCGATTGCCTTATTTTTGCAAAGCAAACTTAAAAGGAAAACGGAAGTTAAGTTAATAATCGGCTAAAAGTAAAGAAAGCTACATCTTCCCAAGTAAATTAAGTATAAATATCAAGTTAGTTTAATGTCAATTCTAGTTAACATACTAAATAATATTTTCTAATCTTACTTAAGATTTAATAGTAAGATTACTTGAGTAATTCCATTTAACTAACAGTGTTATAATGTGTTCTGCAACCATCTTAAATACTATTATTCTCAACATGGTTTTAATCTGCCATTTTAAGCTATGGAGACTTAAAAAAATATGTGCAATCGGTTTCCACATTTTCTTCAAGTAAAGTGAAATAGGAATAGTATGTTGAACTGACAAATGCTTAGTTAGTATAGTTCACTTACACAAGAGTTCTAGACACTAAAAAAAGAACTGTAGAGAGTACTTGATAATTTACTTTAAATACAATTTAATTGTTACCATTGTTGTGTTTTGCATGCTGAATGTTGAAGTCTGTGTAATTCAAGTATAATCAATTACAAGATTGTCACTTTTATATTTAACTTTTATTTGGGATTATATAAACCCAATTAAAAGTTTCACAAGGTGTTTAGGACATAATAGACCATTAATAAATAGATAATTAATTGACATGAAATAGAGTTATACAGCAATCATACACACACATTCATACATATATGTATGTGTATATATGTATGTTTATATATATATATATATATATATATATATATATATATATATATATACACACACATACATACATTCATTCATAAATTACTTCTCTGCCTTTGAAATCATATAATTGATTTCTTGTTGCATCACTGCATCAATGGTAAGAGAATAATAATAATAAAAATGAAGTTCCAAGTGACCAACCAAAGGGAACATTAATCGCCATAATGGTGACTAAAAATATTTTAGGAAAATCAACATGTCAGCTTATGTGATGTTCTCTCAAAATTGACAATTCAACACTCAAGATGACTTTGGGAAATGAGTGAATGCAAACAGAGAGAAATAACTGCAGAAGAGGAGGAAATGAGTGAAAAGTCCATTAAGATTTTTCCCGCTACAAAAATCACACTCAAACCAATCAATTAATCTTTACTTGGTTTTTCTGAGTAAACAAAGCATAGCGTGTGAATACATATTACTAGATTTTTACAATTAAGTTAAGACATTAAGTAAAGTTTACTAAAAAGTGTTAGTTAGTCTAGTCAAGTAATGTTTACTTGGGTTTTCTGAGTAACAAAGGCATAGCATGCAAACAGTACAGATTACTAAATTGTTTTAAGTAAGTTCAACAAATTATTGGAAATTAAGTAAAGTTAACTAAAAAGTCTTAGTAAGAACAACTGTTAGATTTTACAGTGCATGGTTTGACGTGATATGATAAGCGATCGCTAGATTTTGTGACGATGCAGCAAGGAAGAAGCAAAGAGAGAATCCAAATGCAAGCACTTTAATAAAACAAACAGGTAATCCAATGGAACTCAGGACAGGGACAAGAACAGCAAACAACTTCAACGTCCGACAAAACACAACTGAAACACAGAGGTATAAATACACAAGCAGACAGGCTAAACAAGATAACAAGGGGGCGTGGTTAATCCGAGACACCTGGGAAGACTAATCAACAAAACGGGGAACAGCTGAACATGGGACAAGACACATGGCAGGATCACATGACAAACAGGGAACCACATGACAGACAAGAACAAGGAACAAGACACAAAACCCACACCGTGACATAGCCCCTCCCCTATGGGCGGCTCCCGACGCCCATAAAAAACAAAAAACAATAGTTCAGGAGGGTGGTGAAGCGGAGGCGGTCTTGGGGGGAGGGATGGAGGGCCAGGTCCATGCAGGGGAATGGGACCAGGGCATTGCAATGGCGGACCTGGGTCATGAAGCGTTGGCGACCAGGGCTGAGCAGGAACTGCAGACGACCCTTCGGGCGGCCAGGGAGGAGACGACCCTTCAGGCGGCCAGGGAGGAGAGGACCCTTCAGGCGGCCAGGGCGGACCAGATAGTTCCAGCGCCCAGGGCGGAGCAGGATGCGCAGGCGGCCAGGGCGGAGCAGGATGCGCAGGCGGCCAGGGCGGCGAAGACCCTTCGGGCGGCCAGGGCGGCGAAGACCCTTCGGGCGGCCAGGGTGGGCCAGGGCGGCGAAGACCCTTCGGGCGGCCAGGGCGGCGACGTCACCGGCTCGGGAACAGACGACACCGGCTCGGGAACAGACGACACCGGCTCGGGAACAGACGACACCGGCTCGGGAACAGACGACACCGGCTCGGGAACAGACGACACCGGCTCGGGAACAGACGACACACACACTGGCTCGGGAACAGACATCACACACACTGGCTCGGGGACAGACAACACACTCACTGACTCGGGAACAGACATCACACACACTGGTTCGGGAACAGACAACACAGACTTTGGCTCGGGAACAGACAACACAGACTCTGGCTCGGGAACAGACATCACACACACTGGTTCGGGGACAGACATCACACACACTGGCTCAGGGGAAGTGACGTGAACAGTCTCCGGATCAGCCATCTTGTCCGTAGACCCTGGCTCGGAGGAAGTGACGTGGACAGTCTCTGGCTGTGCAGACGTGACGTGGACAGTCTCTGGCTGTGCAGACGTGACGTGGACAGTCTCTGGCTGTGCAGACGTGACGTGGACAGTCTCTGGCTGTGCAGACGTGACGTGGACAGTCTCTGGCTGTGCAGACGTGACGTGGACAGTCTCTGGCTGTGCAGACGTGACGTGGACAGCCTCTGGCTGTGCAGACGTGACGTGGACAGCCTCTGGCTGTGCAGACGTGACGTGGACAGCCTCTGGCTGTGCAGACGTGACGTGGACAGCCTCTGGCTGTGCAGACCTGACGTGAAGGGAGGGCTCTGGACAGAACCAGTGATGAAGGCGGTTCTGTACTGGACTGGACCAATGGCGAAGAGGGCTTTGAGCTGGACAGGTCCAGCGGCGAAGACGGCTCTGGACTGCATAAGACCAGCGGCGAGGGCTCTGGGCTGGACGGGACCAGCGGTAAAGGCTCTGTGCTGGACTGGACCGGCGGCGAAGAGGCCTTGGTGCTGGACGGAACCAGCGGCGAAGAAGGCATGGTGCTGGACAGAACCAGCGGCGAAGAGGGCTTGGTGCTGGACGGAACCAGCGGCGAAGAGGGCTTGGTGCTGGACGGAACCAGCGGCGAAGAGGGCTTGGTGCTGGACGGAACCAGCGGCGAAGAGGGCTTGGTGCTGGACGGAACCAGCGGCGAAGAGGGCTTGGTGCTGGGTTCATGGGCTGTATCGGATGTGTGTGCTGCCCATACACACAAAACAGCCATGGACCCCACAATGAGCACAGTGTCTTCCAGAGAAGCATGGACGGTCTCTGGCTGGACGATCTCTGGCTGGACGGTCTCTGGCTGGACGGTCTCTGGCTGGACGTTCCCTGGCTGGACGGTCCCTGGCTGGACGGTCCCTGGCTGGACGTGGCTGACGTGAAGCTCTGGCTGGACGTGGCTGACGTGAAGCTCTGGCTGGACGTGGCTGACGTGAAGCTGGCTGGACGTGGCTGACGTGAAGCTCTGGCTGGACGTGGCTGACGTGAAGCTCTGCTGACGTGAAGCTCTGGCTGGACGTGGCTGACGTGAAGCTCTGGCTGGACGTGGCTGACGTGAATCTCTGGGCTGGACGGGACCAGCGGCGAATGGGGCCCTGGGTTGGACATCACCAACCCAGGGTCGAAGAGTGGCCAGCGTGGAGAGTGGTGTCGGGGCTCCTCTCGACCACCTCCTCTACTGAGGCCTCCACGTGTCCCGCGAAACTTGACCAACCGGGTCCCCTCAAAAGAGTGGCCTCTCCCCCGCTCGGTGGTTGGAGAAGAGACACTGGCGAACATGCTGCTGGATTCAGTGTTGGTCGGTCGTTCTGTGACGATGCAGCAAGGAAGAAGCAAAGAGAGAATCCAAATGCAAGCACTTTAATAAAACAAACAGGTAATCCAATGGAACTCAGGACAGAGACAAGAACAGCAAACAACTTCAACGACCGACAAAACACAACTGAAACACAGAGGTATAAATACACAAGCAGACAGGCTAAACAAGATAACAAGGGGGCGTGGTGGTTAATCCGAGACACCTGGGAAGACTAATCAACATAACGGGGAACAGCTGAACATGGGACAAGACACATGGCAGGATCACATGACAAACAGGGAACCACATGACAGACAAGAACAAGGAACAAGACACAAAACCCACACCGTGACAGATTTAATCAGTGCGATTTACTGCAATGCTTTTTTTCCCTTAGTTGGTCAGAACAAAAGTGGATGTTACTTACTTGTTCAGATGACATTTTCCGGTGAAAATTCTTATGTTGGTCATACTTCCAAAAAGTAGAATCTGTGATTCTGAATGACAGTATCCACACCGGCACGGCGACTGACAGCCGCACATTCTCCTCAAAACATTGGATTCAAAACTTTAATTCTGTTCAGTATCTGATTGGAAATGATGGGGAAAAAATTGCTTCACAGTGCCGTTATTAGTAATCATGAAACATGTCAACATCTTTTAAAATGCATCACATATTACCAAAGCTAAAAATGGTCCAATTAAACATTTCCCTTTCTTTTTGTTTTCAGTTAGCCATCGGTTAGCAAGCAAACAGCACATTGTTAACAGGTTATGGCTCTTTCAATTAGCTAGAACATAATATCACTATAACATGCTCAGTTTTCATTCAGGCATTAGACCACTGCAATATCTCTTCATGGAAGTGCAATAAAAGTGGATGTTTTACATTCTCAGCTGGAGTCTCTCTCTCTCTCTCTCTCTCTCTCTCTCTCTCTCTCTCTCTCTCTCTCTCTCTCTCTCTCTCTCTCTCTCTCTCTCTCTCTCTCTCTCTCTCTCTCTCTCTCTCACACACTCACTCACTCACTCACACACATTTTGACCCACATCTTTTAACTGACCTTAAAAATTCAAAGAGTAGAAAGGATCTGTCAAGCATCTCCATGGCCTTATTTGTCTGTGTGTTCCAGTTATAACCATCTTTAAAGGGAAAGTGGAAGAGACGGAGCTGCCGGTAGATCAGGTGGACATTATCATCTCAGAGTGGATGGGCTACTGCCTTTTTTATGAGTCCATGTTGAACACGGTCATCTACGCCAGAGATAAGTGGCTGGTCAGTGTGTGTGTGTGTGTGTGTGTGTGTGTGTGTGTGTAATACAGGAAGTATGGTTTTGTGTGAGAGTATGTGTACAGCCAATGTCTCTAGAGAGTGAACATAGACTCTGTGTTCTTCATCTTTAGAAACCTGGAGGTCTGATGTTCCCAGACAGGGCTGCTCTTTATGTGGTGGCCATTGAAGACAGGCAGTACAAGGACTTCAAGATTCACTGTGAGTCCCAATACAGCAGCTGCCAGCAGTGACCTGACAGAGAGAGAGAGACGGCACATGATTAAGGGCTACTTTTTCACATTCCTCTTATAAACCTGCTTTTAAAATGATTGTTTTCAGTGTTTAAAAGACCATTGAACAAAAAGAGCAGCAATGGGCAGGAACACACACACACAAACACACACACACATACACTAGGCTTGCTGTGGTAGTCCATGTTTCTGGTGTACTGGCATACTTCGACTGTATACCGATAAATTATGGAATGTATCAATTCATATGCTACAATTATAAACTGAAAGCGTTTGCTCAGTTTAGCAGGAGTCTATACTCGCTTATTATGTGAGATGACTGACAGGACGATGGTGGGGGATTTGATGCGCAACAGATCCTGAGTGCCATTGACAGATATCTTATTTTGCAATATGTGTGGTCAGTACCGCCGCTCCCTATACACAGAGTACACATGATCGCAAATTCGAAAGCGATTTTTTTTTAATACCTTACATTTTGATAGCAGCTCCTTAATTCCCCTGGTGAATATTTCTTCACTGTGAGATCCCTAACCCACGCACAAACATCTCATTTCGATTGAAGAGGGTTTCGAGATATGTCCAAATATAGTCTTATCTACAAGTTTACAAATCATTTTATTAAGTATTGTTGTGTCTTTCAGTTAAAATGTCTAAATCTTTAAACAGGATACATTTACACAGCATAAGATTTTAAGAATTGTTTATGTAGATTGGATCTTGAATATAATTGTATTGTCTGACAATACAATTATTATTGTATTGTCTTATTTTTTTCACTTCTTTAAAGTGCCCCTATTATGTACTTTTGAAAAAGACCTCTCATGTAGTGTGTAACATAGCTTATGACTAAGTGAATGAAAACATCCTGCAACGTTTTAAATCTGAAAGTGCACCATATATAAAGTTATTGTCTTTCAAAAGTAGAAGTCGACTCTGAGTCAATGAAATGAATCGTTTTTCAAACGAGTCATAAGCCGTTTCGTTGTGACGTCAAGACGAAACATTAGCATATTGTCCGCCCACTGCGCAGACACCAGGGAAAACTTGAACCCCCTCAAACACTGCAGCTGATTCCTGTGGATACTGTACAGCATCATGTCGAGAAAAGAAGCTGTGCTCTACAATGTGAAGGTAAAGCCAGTTTTTTTTTCACTGGTTAAAGTTAATCTTTACCACAATACCACAACAGTAGCCCGAACCTTGTGCTGTGTTCCTGTCATTTTACTGACGACTGCTTCTCAAATCTCCGAGTTCAATGCAGGATTCGCAAACCGCTTGCTCTTGAAAGTTGGTGTTCAAAATACTAGTTTTGAGTTTTATATTGTGTAGGTCTCCTGCTACGGCTAACTCACATTATTACTGTCTTACTGAAATACTTCTGCTAATCAGTTGTGGGCCACTATTACCTAAAATTGTCTATTAATGCAGATTGTCTGTCGTTCTCACTACTTTGAGGAAAGATTAAGCATGGAGCAAGATTTGCTTTACCAACGTTTATGTTACATCAATCAATCACGCTAGAGCTCGGCTAATGTATGCACTGTTATTAATACAGTTTCCACATGTTCACCGCAATAAATTTGAAAAATACTCAGTAAATAAATAAGTACAAGAAAAATTATCGGTTTGTTGATGCACATGCACTTGTTAACGCTGATGGTGAGGAATTAGTTCCAACATCTCATAATGTACCTCAAACTGAGTAGCATATCACTGAGAAGCGTCCTGCTCGAGTCGTCCTTCTGATGGAGGTTCGGTTTGAATGACCAGTTCTTCCAATGTTCCATCATCGGACTTACGCTAGGGTGGCCATACGTCCGGATTTTGGCCGGACAGTCCGGATTTTAAGCCCCCTGTCCGGCGCAGCCTCAAGCCGGACACTCATTTGTCCTCCTTTTTGGAGTTGCGATGAATTGTTTAAAAAAATTAACCTATAAAAATCCCGCATAATGATAGCGGCTCTCTGATGCCCATAAATTAGTTCAAATCTCTTGGAATCTGGAGTCGCGCATGCGAGACAGACTGTATAAAACATACTGTATGTGCTCCAAACCTTGCATGCCCTCAGCCCCCCATTCCACAAATTTAGGGAATCCAGTAATTTTGTGAAATATTATATATATATAAATATATATATATATATATATAATAAAGTTAAATAGTGTAGCTTTAATCATAAGATCAGACTTGTTCAGGAAGATTTTCTTCAAACTGTTAAAGTGAGTAAGAGAAAACCATATGATAGTTTATGCTAATATCTTCTACAGTGCATATTTCTTGCACTATAAATAGAAAATCTGATACATTTTGAGACATGAAATAGAGTGCTTATCTTTACATTCGTGTAGAGTATTTTCTGGGCCTTAGTTATGGTCTGTTTATTAAAAATCAATTGTGTCTATGTTTGAGCAGGGTGGGAGAACGTTTATGGTTTTGACATGACCTGCATCAGGAACGTAGCAATGAAAGAACCACTGGTGGACATCGTGGACTCAAAGCAAATGGTATCCAACGCCTGCCTGATCAAGGTCAGCCATTAAAACACTTCTAAAGAAATCATGTATGTGCGTGTTTCTCACACATGTGTGGTAGACGAGAAGATAAAGATCCACAGAGAATAGCAGCATTAGTGTGTAACTGATCATTAGCTGCATCACTCAGTGTGACAGTTACATAATGATCCGTTGAAATGCAATTTCATTTCATTATAAACCACTGGAGAAGGTGCTGATGAGATGATCATTGGTTGAATCGGATTCATCAAGCCTGGAAAGTTTATGGCTCCACAGATGGACTGTGAAATGCATCTGCAAACCTCTCTAATATGGAATAAAAATATTTGAAACAAAAGGCTTTTCAGCTTTTCCCAGATATGAATTTAGCAGTTCTGTCACAACTAATCCAATTTAATCAAATCAAAGCAGGAAAACAATTTGATATGTAAAGGACTAAATAAAGGGATTTAAGAATTGTATATATACCATTGTCAATCATTGTCTGTACATTAATTTCAGATAAGATAACATGAAACCCCTATCTACAACCAAATAATGCTATATTTTTCTCAGAACTAACTAGTCACTAGTCGCCTTTAGCTAAGGATACACGGATATAAAAAATCTGATTGATTATTTTCATGTTATATAACATCGCTCAATGTATGGAATGAAAACAAATTGATAATATTTTATAAATATCGATTTATTTTATTATTATATCCTGATATCCTATAAATATGTTGCCTGAGTGTGCTTTTGGTGTCTTTCTTTAAAGTAATAATGTTAAATGTATAAATAATGCATTTTTAGGGGCCACTTAATTGTCCTAATACCATTTGGAGCCATTGTATGCCACTTTATTTTTCTACAGATTGACGCATGTCCTGAACTGACCTTTCCTCTTATGATATGAGGAAATTAAATCGTGATATTTTGTCCTTTACTCAAATCCTTCTTTCTTTAAAGTTTAGATAAAGTAACTTATAAAGATCAGGTCTGTCCAATGAAGCAAAGCGAGGGGATAATGGATAAAGGCACTTAAATTAAGTGCTAAATGGAAGTGTGAAGCACGCACTCACACGGACCTCCTCTATCGCTATGTTTGATACAGTGATTAATGCTCCATTTCAAACTTTGTGCTTTATAGCTGAATCTAAAGTAGATCGGACACATTTACAAATGGGAAGCCTGATGTCTAATGGAGGTGAGAGTGAGAGGAAACCACAAAGAGAGAGAGAAAATAACAGTTTCCTGTTGTTTTTCAGGCAAATATATCAGTGTTGAGACAGGGAGGCAGGGCTCAGTTTACTGTCGGGAAATGATGGAGTCTGAAATAGCGGTCTGAACGTACTGATCCAAGAGCAGTAATAACATCCTAACGTAATTACTGAAATGCTACCAGTACAGTATGACATTTCAGAAGAATTGATAGATAGAGAGAGAATAAGAGATCAAGCTGGATGATTTTTTCTCTCCCACAGGAAAGAGAAATGAATGGAAGCTTGTTTTCGCCTTGGAATAAAACAATACATTTAAAATAAACATTGTCTCACAATTATGATTATTCTTTTTTTCTTATTTTTTTATTCCGAGTTTATATTTTGTGGTTAGGACTCAATTGTGAGTTTTTTATCTTACAAAAATGAGAGGAAAAAAAATCTGAATTGCAGGATAAAAGTAGCAATTATTAGAAAAAAAAAGTCTGTTTACTCACAAATATGACTTTTTTTTCTCAGAATTATGATTTAAACTTTGAGTTGCAAAAAACTATGTCCGTATTGTGAGAATACTTTTTTTTCCCCTCAGAATTGCAAATTTATATCTCACAATTAAGACTTTATAACTCGCAATTGCGAGTTTATATCTCATAACTCAGAGGAAACGACTCTATGTAAGAATTGTGCGATATAAACTCACAATTGTGCGAAAAACCGTCAGAATTGTGAGACAGCAAAGAGATTCAGGAGATACCAAAGTCCGCAATCAGATGTAAAACATCTAAATACTTAAATTATCATTCTCATTCTACCAAGACCAAATGATCTGCTATCCATATAAATCTTATAGGTCTTATTTTTTTGCTTAAATGTTCTTTAAACATAGTTGATACGTCAAAGAAACAACAACTGAGAACATTATTAGGCCCTTTTGACCATGACATAGCAACTTGAGCTTTGCTTGTCTTTTCTCAGGAAGTGGACATCTACACAGTGAAGCCAGAGGAACTGTCCTTCACCTCCTCCTTCTGTCTGCAGATCCAGAGGAACGATTACGTCCATGCTTTGGTCACCTACTTTAATATCGAATTCACCAAGTGTCATAAAAAGACTGGCTTCTCCACAGGTGTCGTGTTTAAAAACGTCTATGTTATACACCTGTGGCCACACAGTGTGTATGTGAATGTGTACTTTGAGTTTGTGGTCGATGTCTGCCCTCTAGTGGCTCAGTTGTGAAACAGCAAAGCCAAAGACATTGCATTAAACCAAAACAGGCACCAAGGATGAAGAAAACCTGAAAAATAGTTACATACACACATATTTACACTCTATAACAAATAAAATAGCCTATACATTTTCATAATTACTTATTTATTATCATCACAATTTACCATTATAAAGTTTGTTAACGAGTTATTATTTCTGTTAGCAGTACAATTTCTATGACAATCTCATATAGGGTATAACCGGAGTCTGTAAGTCCTACTACTTTGCTGAGTTTGCACATTCATATTAATTTTCTTGACGTTCACCCAGTAGCCTCAACCTTTTTGGGCTGAAAATAATACTTCGGTAACCAGCTAGTGAGTAACAAAATCCCACTATAATCTTTATTTATGTATTATTTAATTATAGTATAATGTAGGAAAGGTTGATTAGGCTAAACAATTATGAATAGGCTGCTACCAAGCCATATCCACATGACTCAATTAATATTTACGCACCTTGATTTCATTCACGTAGATAGATAGGCTACTAATTTTACATCTTGACGGAATGCAGAAAGTGCCTATTTTTCTACAGTCTATGCTCGCGACGTGTTGAAGAAAAAAATGTTAATGACGCAAGACGCTGAAGAACAAACGCGATCTAGCGCTATTCATGAAACGCAAACGTACACCAGTTGGAATGTAATGGCGAGTAGCGCCCTCTGTTGGTCTGCTGTCTTTCTTTCCACAAGTCTTTATACTGTTAATATTTGTGTATAGGCTATATAATGTCATTTGCGTTATTAATTCTGTCCCCAAAGTCTTGTTTAGCACCTGGACACAAATTAGATCTGTATGCTCCTGGTTTACTTACACAGAGGATTTTTGTGGGGGTTTTGTTGTTGCATTTCTTCCCCCCCCCCCCCCCCCCCCCCCCCCCCCCCCTTAGCCTACCTTAGCAGTCTGATGCATTGTATAGTCAAGAGAGTACCTGACTCCCAGATGTCGAGTTGAAGTGTTATGTGTTGTGGGATTTTGATCTGAGGACTCTGTTAAGTTCTATTGACCTTTCAGGCTCGGCGTATTGCTCAGTCAGCATACAGACGTTTCCTCTTGGGTGGAACGGAAGCACAAGTGATCTTTCAGCTGGCAAGAAAACTAACACATAGACTCCTTTAGAGTGCTTTCTTCCTCTCTCAAATGCACACACACAAACATTTGCATCTTATTTGGCAGCAATCTTGAAATAAGTACAGGCTTGCACAGATTTATGTCTGGGAAAGCATAATCTGAATATGTGAAGTGAATTTGTCAGGGTTAGTACACAATTCACTTGTGGCCTGTTTCATGTCTATTGCAAAATAAAGACAGACAGGATGATCAGGACCCTGATATTTTGTAATAGGCTATTAATCAACTTTTGCATGGCTGCTTAGCAAATAAATATGTTAACATGAAATATAGATTTATTGATTGAATTATATATGATAAAAAAAGACAGCATGAAATGGTCAGTAGCGGCCATTATATAAACTATTTGCCCTATAAAATGCAGCAACCAATCAGAATTAAGTGTTTCAGAGAGTCCAGTAAGGCCGTAACAATGTGAGATATAGCCTATTATTTATTTAATGTTATTTATGTTCTCTTCTGTTTACTCCACTGTAGCACCAGATTCCCCGTACACACACTGGAAGCAGACAGTGTTTTATCTGGAGGAGTATTTGACTGTGAAAAGAGGAGAGGAGATAGTCGGCACCGTCAGCATGAAGCCAAACGAGAAGAACGTGGTTTGTGCCCTCATTACTAATATGCTTTCTTTCTTTCTTTCTTTCTTTCTTTCTTTCTTTCTTTGATTAATATAAGTACTGCTCAAAACATGCTTTCCAGACTCTTTAAATACACTGCTGTTCAAAAGTTTGAGGTCGGTATGATTTGATCCATGTTTTGAAAATACGTCTTCTATTCTCACAGCTGCATTTATTTGATCTAAAAATACAGGAATACTGCGAAATATAATAACCATTTAAAAAAACTTTTCCCTGGAAGCTTGTTTCCACCACTGAATTTTTTTGGGACTTTTTTCCCCTCACAATTGTGTGATATAAACTTATTGCGAAACCAGAATTACGAGATATAAACTCATATTGTAGGCTAGTCTCATATTTCGTAATTGCAATTGTAAGAAAAAAATCAGTCAGTCAGAATTGCGGCATATTATGGAAGCTTCTTTCCGCCACGGAATAAAAACAATTTAAAAGATAATTTCAACTTTTTATCTCACAGTTCTGACTTTTTTTTCTCGCAATTGTGTTGCAAAAGTCAGAATTGCAAGTTATAAAGTCAGAACTGCGAGATATAAACTCGCAATTGCGAGAAACAAAGTCAGAATTGAGAGAGATAAAAAGTCGCAATTAGGCCTACCTTTTTTTTTCTGTGGCGGATACAAACCCCCAGTACGGAGCGAATTATGTGCCAAAATTAAACAAACAAATCCAGCATTTTGCAAACAAACTCGATCTGCTTTGCAAAGGAAAACTCGACTCGCAAACAAACAGAAAGCAATTTGCAAAAACAAAGGTCAATTTGAGCGAAAATGCAGTGGAGTAACCAATATTATGTTTTACAAGTATAAATAAATGATCCTTGATAATATTTCGCAAATAAATACAAACCATCCTACAAATTGCATGTAACCTTTGAACAAATACCAAATATAGTGCATACAAATGCATATCTGTCTGTTATGATTGTGAGATCTCTCGGCTCGATTTTCTCACAAATGTGTCCAGGCAGATTTTCTCACAAATGCAGATGAGTAACTTCCTCTTCTAAAACAGTAGATGGCGCTAAAATAGGGGATTCATTTAGCACTAGTCTCCCGGGAGCGATATTTTTTTTCACAGGATGGTAGGGGAAGACTCATGAATATTCATTAGGGAACTCATCCCTGATTGGTCTTAACCCCAGTGACGGGTAGGTTTAGGGGCGGGGTTAGGGGTAAGTCATCAGACCCCCAGTGACGGGTAGGTTTAGGGGCGGGGTTAGGGGTAGGTCATCAGACCAATCAGGGATGAGTTCCCTAATGAATATTCATGAGTCTTCCCCTACCATCCTGTGAAAAAAAATATCGCCTCCCGGGAGAAGCACTGATTTGAAACGCGCTTGCCTTTGCCTACAGCTGAGGAAAAAGTTTCTGTCTTACTTTATCTATAAAAAACATCTTGAGGTTTTCCTTTGCTAAATGTTTATTACATATCTAGACAGAAATCCACATTAACACTAGTAACACTTAGGTCGGCGCCAAGGGCATTCACGAACCATTACAAATGCGTGAAATGCACGTACGGTGGTTGAGTGCGGTAAAGTTAGGTTTGGTATTCACAATCACCGGACATTTGTTTTCCCTTTACACTATTCTATGATCGGCAGTCTTACAAATATATCAATAGCAGGATTAGTTTTAACAGTATGTAACCATTTTATATTGACATGAATATTCATTCAAAATCCCCTACGTGCGCTATAGCTGCATATTTATACCTGAGAATACTTTGACGCGCTTTCACAGCGCATGGGAACGTCTGGCAATTCCACCAACTGCGGTAAACGTAGCCTATAATTTATTATTTAAAAGTACAAGTTGATTTTAACATTTAAAAACAGACATTTTCAAATCCCAAAGCTTGTAGAAGGTTACTATTGGTAAGACTGACTTACTACAGATGAAATTGTGCCAATACCTCCCTTCATGTATTTACAGTACACAATTATTTTTATTTTTTTATTTTTATAAAGGGTTTTTGGTGACTTAGCCTACAGGTGAGATGATGCATTATTCATCAGTGTGTATAATAAAGGTTGTGAAATTATTGCCTAATATAGTATTAACTCGACTTTAGTGCTGCAAGGATATTCCACAGCATCAAGATAATTTGTTAATGGTCATAAAGTGTGAGATAAGATGCAAGTACCGTAGCTAAACATTTCATTATTGACAGCTGTTTTAAAACAGAAATGTTAAATGGCCAACAAAAATAATCAGGCAAACTAATACAATTTTGACTAACTTTTTAATTGAAAATAGGCCAATACAATTTACGTAACATTCATGTGTGAAGTTCCCTCTCTCTGGGAATCTAAGCTGAAAGCTCTGCCAGCATATGTTGCTATTTACATTTTTTCTTCATTGGACACGTGCGAAATGACTAAATTAGTGATTATGTCTACACTGAACAAGTCTGTCGTTCTCATATCTTGTCTCATATCTGTGTAAAATCTAATTACCTTGTGGCATTTTGTCCAACAATGTTAAAGGCCCAGTGGCCTTGTAATAAACATTTTGCAAAAGAAAACTAGCCTGGCATGACAGACCTATATCAAGATGTTAGGTCTGGGAACTCTCCATTGACATGCCTCAATCCGAGGGGCGGGATAAACGGTTACCTTTCAAAATCCCTCTGCACGCAATAGGACAACGCTGCAACCAACCAGAGCAACGAACAGTTGTGGATGAGTGAGTCTGTTACAAACCCTTTTAAGTCTAGGGAGAATAAAGCGTGCAACATTAAAATACTGAACGTGTACTGGAAAAAGATCTCACACAAACCGGTCTCATTGAAGTATGTTCAGGATTTATTATGAGAAGCAAGGTGTAAAGAATACCTCTAGATAATTAATTAAATAAGTGTACCATTTAGATACAAATCATACAAAGCAAAAGTTCACAAAAGAAAGAGGTACAGAGAAAAGAACTAGACAGTGCCAAATCAAAGAAAGAAACAAAACCAAAACCAGTCTGGCTAATTATAAACAAAACAATTTATAATCTAACTAAATTGAAATTAATCAAAAAAACGAAAAATCTTCAGCGTCAGAGACGCCCTACATAAACTGCTCTTACTGCAAAACGAAAAATACAAAAGATGGCACGTGCCGCTAAACTAGTGTTCTATACACGATTGATCCCTCAGTGTAGCACATGTATATCACGTGATATCTCACCTGTTCTTTTCTCTGCCCCGTTAAATAACAAGTTTCACAACCCGACCAACGGCACACTACTCAAGAGAAAAGACGACCCAAATGGGCTTCTAAGTTCTCAAAGAACACAATTTCTCACACACTAAATTGGTACAGGGCAAATATGCGTCTCACACAAATCAAAGTGGAATCTCCCGCTTCCCACACAGGTGCACTCTTTATAGGCGCAGTGCGCCCTCATTGGTGGAGCCGCGTTGCATCATCACCGAGCGTTTCTATGACTGGCAGATGGATGGACCAATCAGGTAACCGCATCGTCCTGCTAAGAGTGAAAGTAAAGAGGAGAAAGAAAAGGAAAAGGAAACAAACAACAACACCAAACAAATAATAACATAGGACGTAACACTCCTCCCCATAAGAATAAACATCTCATGATTATTTCAATCCGATCTATAAAATTACACTCTAGATAAAGCATCGGCTAACACATTTTCTGACCCTTTCTTATGCTTAATTTCAAGATTGTATCCCTGAACCACCAACGACCAACGCATAAGGCGTTGATTCTGGTTATACATTCTTGCAAGGAAAAACCAGAGGGTTATGGTCTGTATAAACGACTATAGGAGCGCTCGAAGAACCCAGATATACTTCAAAGAATTGTAGGGCCAGCAACAAAGCCAAAGTTTCTTTTTCAATGACGGAATAATTTCGTTGATGTTTGTTAAACTTCTTTGAAAAGTAACAGACAGGGTGATCGACTCCCACATCATCCTCCTGCAAAAGCACTGCTCCAGCTCCCACAGCGCTTGCATCCACTTCCAGTTTAAAAGAACGTTCAAAATTTGGCGCAGCCAAGACAGGAGTATTGTACAGCAAAGCTTTCACTGTTTCAAATGCATTTTGACAATCGTCAGACCAGATGAAAGGATTAGCAGGGCTAAGCAAATTTGTCAAGGGATTAACTACCGTAGAGAAGTTTACACAGAAACTACGATAGTAGCCTGCCATACCCAGAAAACGTCGTAATTCTTTCCGTGAAGTAGGCGCGGGAAATTCAGTAATGGCAATAACTTTAGCCTCCACAGGCTTTACCTGTCCTCCGCCCACTTCTTTACCCAGATAGGTCACACTCGCCTTCCCAAAGACACACTTAGCTAGGTTGAGCGTCAACGTAGCTTTCTCTAAACGCTCAAACACTGTGCGAAAGAGTTTCAGATGTTCTGTCCACTCAGTTGAATATAGTACAAGATCATCCAGATAAGCATTACAATGAGGAACCCCAGCCAACACGGTTTGGATTAATCTTTGAAAGGTGGCAGGTGCATTTCGTAACCCGAACGCCATCACGTGATATTGCATAAAACAATCCGGAGTTACGAAAGCAGAGATATCAGATGCCCGAGAAGTTAGCGGAACCTGCCAATACCCCTTCAATAAATCCAACTTGCTGACAAACTTGGCTGACCCCAAATTGTCAATGCAATCTTCCATTCTAGGAAGTGGGTAACAGTCAGGCACAGTAACCGCATTAACACGACGATAGTCCGTGCAAAAACGGAACGACCCATCAGACTTATGCACTAACAGGCAAGGAGAACTCCAGGGACTACTACTATGATTTGCTAACCCATTCTGCAACAAATAATCAGTTTCCTGCTTCATAATAGTTCTCTTAACAGTGTTCATCCGATAGGCGTGCTGCTTAATGGGGAATGCGCCATCAACATTAATATCGTGCCGCAACACCGTAGTTTGCGACGGAACATCCCCAAATAAGGAAGGAAAGTCAGTGACAACACCCACA